GTTATATTCCAGGCCATGACTCCATGATCTAATTGCAGGTCATTGATGACACCTTTTTTTTTGTAAAGTACACAAGAAGCTCAAATGAGTGGTGGTTACAGTATTGCATTTTAGTAAGTGCATTCAACCAAAGTTTGATCAAACACGTACTCTGAAAGAACAAAGACTGCAAAGCTTCTTGTGCCAAGATTATTATTCAAGACTTATTACATCGTTATTACATCTGTAGAGCCAGTTTACTGGCATACAGGTAACACCTACAGAACCACGACTGCTTTAATGCTACACAAAAAAGGTAAAGATCGTAAACAACAGCCACATTTTTCTTTACAAACACAGATATGGCTGTTCAGGAATTTAATTCATTTAACTCTTTATTTTGCAGAATCATGTAAATCACAGCTAAAAAGTGTAAAAGTGATATAGAAGAAGACAAAAAACAAAAAAGAGCAATGAAAAGTAACGGAGGTCAACAGCTGGAAGCTGCACAGCATGAGGGTGTAAAAATCGGTATTTATCCTAATATTTTACTTGAAGACTTTTTTTAAATCAAAGACATAAATGTTCAGTATTAGGAAAGCTCTGATTTCCTCTGCAGCTAGGCACTGACTTGTGACCTGGAACTGATCCCCTGTGTGCTGCGCTGCAGTAGCCCATAGCTCCCACACACAGGGGTATAGGGCCACACGGAGTAACAAAATCCTGAGGGGTTTTTGACTTGTGTCATTTTTATATGTGAATAAGTGCCAGTGTAAAGATAACTATGCGTCACACCACACTCACACACTAGAGCCAAACGTTTAAATATAAAATTCAGCTGAACGTGCTCAAAACATTTCAATCACTGCCCTTCAAGCATGAGAGTCAACAGACACCTAAACAGCCAGGACTCCTCAACATGTAGGACTAATGAGAGTTTTTGAACTCACATGGCAAAAACGAACAAACAAGAAGATTCTCAGTCACCCAAGTACTAAATAAAAGTGTTCCCGGTAGCTTGATCTGAGTTTTAAAAAGTTGTTGTTGTTGTTTTTTTACATTAGAGACCAGCTCTGTCACTAACCTTTTCCTTAGGAAAAATTAACAAAACCCCCCAAAACAAATTAAACTCCTTTACATATCAGGCAGACAGCACAGATCTGCTTTCACACAGCAGTTCAGCTTGGATGGAGACTTAGAGATGCACCTGACTCCACGGGCCTGATTTTCACTGATGTCTCCAGTGTATTCACTTAGGTGGAGAGGGCCATATGGGGAGAGGATGGGCTTCTGTGTTAAAGACATACTTGTCTAGACTGAGAAGCTCCATGTCATCAGAGAAGAGCAGATAGAAGTACTTCAATGTCTCTCCCAAGAAGAAACTCTCCATCTTGTCCCGGGGCCCGGTGCTAAGTGGGTCGCGGACGTTGTTAATGGATGTGTAGCCACCACCAGAGACCTGCAAGAATAGAGGCACCTAATCAGAAAGTTAATTTCCCCATTGGGAAGCAGAAAAATATATCATGATGCAAATTAAACTTTTCCCAATGCTGCCCAAAGTTTTACACATGAAAAACAATCAGCTTTCCGTGCATGCACTGTGAAGCCACAAGAGAGGGAGACATTGAACTGTGGTCTTTTCTTTTCTCCATCAGTAATCAGTCTGCACTGCTTTACTTTTTATTTTTGTAAGTTGAAATAAGTGTGTGAACCTAATCATTTTCTTTTATGATCAAAAACTTAATAAAACTGCAGCTGGACTGGACTTTTAAATGATTAAAGCCAATGTTCAAAGTACAAATTTACCTCCCCAAAAAATCAGATTCATTTACTGGCTAGTAATGAAAACGCATAATATGATCCATATTCAGCTGTCTGTACCTTTGTGTACTTATTGAAACTCTGCAGCATGTCCCATCCCCAGTCTCTGTACTTGGCATCTTTGGTGAATCTGTACATGTAGAAGAGACTTTCCACAGTTTCTGGTCTCAGCAGGTTGTGTCTGTCTGCAGGCTGAAGTGTACAGGAGAAGTTGTCAGAACATTGTACAATAAAAACAACAACAACAAAAAAGATGACAAAGATCAGTGTTTCAGCTTGACCCTTAATACAACCAGTCAGTCCCACAGAAAATGAAAAATACCATTTTGATGACATCTTATAAGAGCAGCAAGGCTACAGTTAAGATTAAATACAAGCTAAGAGCAGGGAGGATCAAAACTCAGTGACTGCAGAACAGACATCTGGACAGCAATGAAGTCTGACTCTGTAAACCCCAAGCTTCTCTGTATTATTATACTACTTTCTACCTTACAGTACCTACACAAAATACCTAGACTGAGCGTGTTTAATGTCAAAATCATGTCTAAAAGCAACTTATGTCCAGAAACGTCAGGTGCACACTCACACAATGTGTAAAATCCTTGAGAATTTCAAACACCTTCCTTAGTTTTTATAACAGAATTTAAATGAGCTCCTGAAATGTTTCAGAACCGTATTTTAATATTAATAGAAGTGGCAGAGCAGAGAAGAACAGTAACCATATAAACCTACAAGCTGTTAATATAAAATGAAATGAGCTTTGAGGAGGGTTAAGGAGGGTACAGTCATGACTTTGACAACAAACATAAACTCACTGATTAAAATTTCCCTCAAAAGGGTCAAGAACTCTCAGTGGGTGTGCTTTACTCTCGGTTATTGCAGCTCGTTAAATATTGTGCTTTTAATATAAAGAAATAAAGACTGTTTCGCAATGCAGATCAATAAATTCAAATAAATAAAGACGTTTAAATCAGCGGTCCCCAACCTTTTTTGCGCCATGGACCGGTTTATGCCCGACAATATTTTCACGGACCGGCCTT